CTGTACACCACTCCACCCCTCCTCCCTCCCACACTCACCCTTTACACTCTCTTCACCCTCTTTACTTTGTGAGAGACTCTCACAGTTCTACTATTATCTTTCTATTTTCCTATATATAATACATAACTGTATAATGTGGGCAAGCGAACACAATGGAGTTGGGAAAAGGAAACAAATATGTTCACGAAATGGATCTATGGACACCGCAAATGGAATGCATTTATCAACCAGGAGATATCCTTTTAGTTTCCATAATTGCTCGCATTATTACTCTATTTTTCATGTTATTTTTTCTTACATAAAACACCAGGGCAGGCGCACTTTCCGATGCAGACACAAAATCTCTTTCCACTTCGCAGTTATATTCGAACCTAAGAGTTGCCATGTTTAAATGTTATAATGCGCTGTCAATATGGGACATATGTTCTTGATTATTGTTATTATAATTGTGAGGTGATCTGTTCCTATACAGCTGCTTTCTGATATGTGTGTACTGGATGTGATGTCATGTCTTGGAATAAATAAAGAATTAAAAAAATATATATATATGTGGAGAGTTCCTGGATGAGGGGTGAGAAGATGAATTTCTCCCAGTGGGGTCTCTGGCTTGTGCTAACATATTTCTAATTATATATTCAAAAATATTGGCTCTCCACCCAGTGCTTCCACACTTTGTTAAACAAGTTCATTAAAGAGCAGTAAATTTGTCAATTAAATAGATGTCTCGAGTAGTTGATGTAGTTTATCTTCCAATTGCTTTGTGTGTTTTAAGGCTCCCCAAGTGTTTGAATGTGAATATATAGCGTGGAAATTAAACCTTTGTGATTTACCTCGTCAGTACAGAGCGGTTCAGAAAATGTGAGAGGAGTTTCTGTTGCTTTATGGGGCACTTTCCTGTTTTGGAAATTGTGCAGTTGGAGGTATCCAGAAGTTCCCTGTGGCAATATGAGTCTTAGATTGGAGCTCCTGGAAGGGAACAACTCTTCCTTTGGAATATAAGTGCATATATCTCTGGATTCCAGTGCTTTCCATTCCTGCAAAATTCCTAGCACTCATTTCTTAGGGTAAGGCACTGTTTCGCAAATATGGTGACATATGAGAGGGGAATATTGTTAGTGACTGTTTTATTGAGACAGTATCCCAAATTCTTAAGGCATTAAGAATGTCTGGGCATTGGGTCCCAAGGAATGCTCTGTCTGTTCTCTGGATCCATATAAAACCTGCACTATCTGTGCAAATTGGGTGAATCAGGAAATAATTGCCTTGAAATTGACAAGGATCCACTGCTTCTCCTGAGGAGTGCTTTTTTAGTTTGGTAATATTTAATTTTTTTATGATGCCCCTGGGCTGTGTGCCCTTTCCACATGCCATTGCCACATGCCCTTTCCACATGCCATAGGAGGAGTCTCCCTCAGCAACCTCTGGCAGCCTCCTGGTCTTTCACCACTTCTTCTTGTTGCCCTAGTTTATGTGGTTGGTGTGCTTGATAGTGCTGTTATGTGCTGTGGAAACCTGCTCCAGGCGTTTCTCCAAGGCTCCTATTTTAGTCCCCAGTGCTTGAATTTTAGCCTTCAACTCCATTGTGCTCATCTCTATTTTCTTTGCTAGGAAGCGGAGGACCTCTCCTGCTTCCCCGCTGTGAGTGTTTTTAGACTTCAAATATCCCAAGTCGCATGATGATCTTAACTGGCTTGGCACATAGGCCATGCGGCTGCTAACACTGTGGCAAAACTTTGGTGAGTTTCCTGAGACAATTTTGTGATTTGCAGAGTGTCCACATAGTTCCCTTTCTTTGCTTGTTTGATTTGAGTTTTATTGGCTCTTTTTTTGTTTAGCTTATTGCCACTAATTGGCAGACGGATCGGTGTCAGGCGGATCGGTGTCAGGCGGATCGGTTAAGTTGATTGCAGCAGTGGATCGATTAACTTAAGTAGCCATCTTGCTCAAGCCACGCTGCACTAATTTTAACTACTGCAAAGTATGTAAAACTAAAGGTAATTATCTTACAATACCTGTCAGCAACATGCAGGGCCAGATTAACATAGGGGCTGATGGAGCTGTAGCTCCAGGCCCAGGCCCATGGAATAGGCCCATTGATTTAAAAAAATATATATATATATTTTTTTTTTACACACTACTCTTATTTCACCTGGCCGGAATTTATTTGAGGCTGCCTGGCCGGTGCCGATATTGCAGTAATACCGGCAATACAAATGCCGGTATTTTTCTCAGTATAAACTGAGATTACTCTGCAATACCATTACTGGCCAGTAGTGGTAACTGTGTGTATGGAGAGAGGCAGGGATAGGAAGTTACAGCATATACCTACATCGCTCTACTCACTGATCTGCGGGGGAGCAGCTACACAGCACAGAGAGTACAGACAGCAGCTCCCAGCCTGCAGGGAGACATGGGGACACTGAGATACTAGGGGACACTATGAGACATGGGAACACATGGAGACCTCTGGAGACACAGACACATATGGAGACACTGAGACATTGACACACACACACACACACACGGACACACTGAAACACTAGGGGACACTGAGACACTAGGGGACATGGTGACACAGACACACATGAGGACACTGAGACACTAGGGACACAATGTCCCCAAGTTTCTCATGTGTCCCTATGTCTCCCAGCCAGTGTCCCTGGTGTCTCAGTGTGCCCATGTCTCCCAGAGTCCCTAGTGTCTCAGTGTCCCTAATCTCTCAGTATCCCTAGTGTCTCAGTGTCCCCATGTCTGGCAGTGTCCGTGTCCCCATGTCTCCCAGTGTCCCCACGTCTCCCCGTGTCCCTCAATGTCCCCGGGAGACATGGGGACACCAGGAGACATGGGGAACTATGACACTGTGATACATAGTCTCAGTGTCCCCTAGTGACATGGGGACATAGGGACACAGACACTAGGGGACCCTGGGTGACTGGGAGCAATCCATCTATACAGCAGAATCAAACTAAGTAGTTTTTTGGTGATTTCACAGAATCTTCTCTGTCACTCCTTGTGATTTACATCATGTGATGTCACACATACATAATTAGTTATGCAAATTAGTAAGGCCTGTATTTTTTTTTCAAGTACTCTTCACATACTCTTGCTTAAGTATGGAAACTTAAGAGGGATATATGGAAACAAAACTTGTGTGGACTGGCTGAAATGAAATTATTTAAGGTATTGCTGACTTTGGTCTCTCTAACACTGTGGCATATTCCCTTTCTTCTACACTCACTACATCCACCTTTTCTCTGTCCCAGACTATATACCAGGAGCTTCTGCCTGCTAGTAAGAAGGTAATGAGACAAGTGGACATGTGAGTGCTAGGGGACAGTCCTTAGAAAGCATGGACCGAGCGCACCATTAGACGCATTTATGCCAAGCTTAGGCTGCTGTCTGCATAGTATGCCCTGCATGATTGGCAGGCAGCCTGACATGCATTCATTTGGGCAGACACGCCTCCTTTTTGGGCATGTTCGGCCCTTTCGGAAGTTCTGGTTACATGATCTGCGTCAGTGGCCCACCCTTTTACACCGCCCATTGACTTCCTGCATCACTGGACACTGCTTTTAGGGGTTATGGATTTACTTGAAAGATGAAAGCATGAATTACATAGAGATTAGCATATTTCAAGAGAATCAGAGTTTTCTTATAGCTGCATCCTATGAGTTTCCCTCCGGCAACATCTCCACCAGATACATAATGCTTGAGAGGTATGACTCTTTTAGTGTTTTTGGTCGATAAGATTCTGTACTTAGGCCCCTAATAATTGTCAGCACCAGGCCTACTGGGCTCTTAATCTGGCCCTGGCAACATGTAAACATACATTTCAATTACAATTTCTGCTAGAATTTAATCTGTTCTTTATTACAGGCATATTTTTGTCTTCTTCATCCACGTCTCCAGTAACAGTTGCACCAGCCAAGATTCACAATAACAAGGGCAGTGACTCTGGTAACAGTCCCAAGAGCAGTGACTCTGGTAACAGTCCCAAGAGCAGTGGTTCCAGTAACAGTCCCACAAGCAGCGGTTCCAGTAGCACTCCTAAGGGCAGTGGTTCTGGCAGAACATCTAAGAGTGGTGGTTCCAGTAGTAATCCCAAGAGCAGTGACTCTGGCAACATCCCCAAGAGCAGTGGTTCCAGTAGCAGTCCCAAGAGCAGTGGTTCTGGTGACAATCCCAAGAGCAGTGACTCTGGCAACATCCCCAAGAGCAGTGGTTCCAGTAGCAGTCCCAAGAGCAGTGGTTCTGGCGACAATCCCAAGAGCAGTGACTCTGGCAACATCCCCAAGAGCAGTGGTTCCAGTAGCAGTCCCAAGAGCAGTGGTTCTGGCGACAATCCCAAGAGCAGTGACTCTGGCAGTGCTCCTAAGAGCAGTAGTTCCAGTAGCAGTCCCAAGAGCAGTGACTCTGGCAACATTCCCAAGAGCAGTGGTTCCAGTAGCAGTCCCAAGAGCAGTGGTTCTGGTGACAATCCCAAGAGCAGTGACTCTGGCAGTGCTCCTAAGAGCAGTAGTTCCAGTAACAGTCCCAAGAGCAGTGACTCTGGCAACATTCCCAAGAGCAGTGGTTCCAGTAGCAGTCCCAAGAGCAGTGGTTCTAGTAGCAGTCCCAAGAGCAGTGACTCTGGCAACATTCCCAAGAGCAGTGGTTCCAGTAGCAGTCCCAAGAGCAGTGACTCTGGCAACATTCCGAAGAGCAGTGGTTCCAGTAGCAGTCCCAAGAGCAGTGGTTCTAGTAGCAGTCCCAAGAGCAGTGGTTCCAGTAGCAGTCCCAAGAACAGTGACTCTGGTAACATTCCCAAGAGCAGTGGTTCCAGTAGCAGTCCCAAGAGCAGTGGTTCTAGTAGCAGTCCCAAGAGCAGTGACTCTGGCAGTGCTCCTAAGAGCAGTAGTTCCAGTAGCAGTCCCAATAGCAGTGACTCTGGTAACATTCCCAAGAGCAGTGGTTCCAGTAGCAGTCCCAAGAGCAGTGGTTCCAGTAGCAGTCCCAAGAGCAGTGACTCTGGTAACATTTCCAAGAGCAGTGGTTCCAGTAGCAGTCCCAAGAGCAGTGGTTCTAGTAGCAGTCCCAAGAGCAGTGGTTCCAGTAGCAGTCCCAAGAGCAGTGACTCTGGTAACATTTCCAAGAGCAGTGGTTCCAGTAGCAGTCCCAAGAGCAGTGGTTCTAGTAGCAGTCCCAAGAGCAGTGGTTCCAGTAGCAGTCCCAAGAACAGTGACTCTGGTAACATTCCCAAGAGCAGTGGTTCCAGTAGCAGTCCCAAGAGCAGTGGTTCCAGTAGCATTCCCAAGAGCAGTGACTCTGGCAGTGCTCCTAAGAGCAGTAGTTCCAGTAGCAGTCCTAAGAGCAGTGGTTCCAGGAGTAGTCCCAAGAGCAGTAGTTCCAGTAGTAGTCCCAAGAGTAGTGGTTCCAGTAGCAGTCCCAAGGGCAGTGACTCTGGCAGTACTCCTAAGAGCATTGGTCCCAGTAGCAGTCCCAAGAGCAGTGGTCCCAGTAGCAGTCCCAAGAGCAGTGGTTCCAGTAGCAGTGCAAAGGGCACTGACTCTGGCAGTGCTCCTAAGAGCAGTGGTCCCAGTAGCAGCCCCAAGAGCAGTGACTCCGGCAGCACACCCAAGAGTAGTGGTTCCAGTAGCAGTCCCAAGAGCAGTGTCTCCGGCAACACTCCCAAGAGCAGTGGTTCCAGTAGTAGTCCTAAGAGCAGTGGTTCTAGTAGCAGTCCCAAAAGCAATGATTCTGGCAACAGTCCTAAGAGCACTGACTCTGGTGGTAGCTCAAGTAAAGAATTCTGTGTTGGAAAAGCCAGTGGTCTGTATCCAGTGAAAGGAAACAAGAATGCTTTCTGGCACTGTGCAGATGGAATCACCTACCAGCAAAATTGCCCTGTGGGTCTTGTCTTTGATCTCACCTGCCTGTGTTGTAAGTAACTGATATTTGACAATATGTATGCACCAATATGTTTAATTGAGCAGCAGGAAATGCTAGCTGAATGCTTGGTTGTATAGGGGGAGGCATTAGCAGTAGAAAGAGGGAAGTGCTCATGCCATTGTACAGAACAATGGTGAGACCTCACTTGGAGTATTGTACGCAGTACTGGAGACCGGATCTTCAGAAGGATATTGATACTTTAGAAAGAGTTCAGACAAGGGCTACTAAACTGGTTCATGGATTGCAGGATTAAACTTACAAGAAAAGGTAAAAGGAACTTAACATGTATAGCTTGGAAGAAAGAAGAGACAGGAGGGATATGATAGAAATATTTAACTACATAAAGGGAATCAACACAGTAAAGGAGGAGACTATATTTAAAAGAAGAAAAACTACCACAACAAGAGGACATAGTCTTAAATTAGAGGGGCAAAGGTTTAAAAATAATATCAGGAAGTATTACTTTACTGAGAGGGTAGTGGATGCATGGAATAGCCTTCCAGCTGAAGTGGTAGAATTTAACACAGTGAGGGAGTTTAAGTATGCGTGGGATAGGCATAAGGCTATCCTAACTATAAGAAAAGGCCAGGGACTAATGAAAGTATTTAGAAAATTCGGCAGACTAGATGGGCCGAATGGTTCTTATCTGCCATCACATTCTATGTTTCTATTAAGCAGTCTCTCTCTGTATGGAAGCTCATTATTGATCTGTTATAAAAATAAGGATCAAATATGAGCTATATTGGTACAGAGAGGTGGAAATGCTTAATTTAGATAATAGTAAAAAGCTGTGTACTTTTAAGATATATGGACACGCTAAGCACCAAAACCACTAATCTTAACGATGTGGTTATGGTGCATAGTTGCTGCCCTGTTTCAATATAATGCATTGCCATTTCTAAAGAATGGCAATGTTTACATTTGGTAAACAGTAAACTTCTACTGGCTGTTATACAATAAAACACTCCCTCCTTGCATCATTTGATTTTTTGAAGGGCATGTTTAGCATCATTAAATTGGCAGTTAGTGACTGATGATGGCGGATAGTGATTGATGATTTTATTTCAAAATACAAATCGATTGGTTATAAAGCTTTGTAAAAAAAATACCAGTATAATTTGTTTACACATGCATTCTAATAATTAGCATAATACTTTAATGACTAGAATCAGCACTACAATAGTTGCTTCACATAATGTCTGTTACAAAAGAAAATGATCACACCTGTAATATACAAATGTGCTGGTTTATGTCAGAAGACTGTGACTGAAGTCTGTTCCAATGTTCTATAACAAAATGTTTTCAAAAAAGTATTGTTTTCTCTAAAGGCTCTTACATTTCTGAAAACTTATACTTGGAAATCTATCTCTCACTTAGGCGCTAATCCTCCACCTAAATATAACAATGGATTCTGTGCAAACAAGGCTAGTGGACTGTATCCAGTGCAAGGGAATAAGAATGCATTCTGGCACTGCGCAGATGGCATTACCTACGAGCAACATTGCCAAACTGGTCTTGTCTTTGACGTGGACTGCCTTTGCTGTAAGTTTTTGGGATTTGGATCAAGTATAAAACTTAAAGGGGCACTATAGGAATGAAAATAACTTTAGCTTAAAGGGACACTCCAGGCACCCAGACCACTTCTGCCCATTGGAGTGGTCTGGGTGCCAACTCCCACTACTCTTAACCCTGCAAATGTAATTATTGCAGTTTTTTATAAACTGCAATAATTACCTTGCAGGGTTAACTCCACCTCTAGTGGCTGTCTGCTAGACAGCCACTAGAGGGCACTTCCTCCTTCATAACACAGAAAACCTGTGCTAGAGCGTCGCTGGATGTCCCCACGCTGTGTGAGGACCTCCAGCGTCGCTCAATTCCCCATAGGAAAGCATTGAAAAGCATTTTCAATGCTTTCCTATGGGGAGCTCTAATGCGAATGCGCAGCATTAATAATGCAGACAGGGACCGACTGACAGCCTTCTGGGCCCCTGGACAAAATTAGATCCGTGGCCCTTCGAAGCCAAATTATTAAAGGTGCACTATAGGTGCACTCGTTTTCCTGTCACTGTAGGGTCATTACCCTCAGGACCCCCTCCCGCTGGACAGAAGGGGTTAAAACCTTTTCAGCCACTTACCTTTCACCTGAGCTGGGCTCCCTCTGCGTTGGGGAACTCTCCTCCCTCTGCCGACGTCAGATTTGAATGCGCAGCAAGAGCCGTGCGCGCATTCAAACCGCCCATAGAAAAGCATTACTCAATGCTTTCCTATGGATGTCCAGTGTCTTCTCACTGTGAAGTGCCTCTAGCGGCTGTCAGTGAGACAGCCACTAGAGGCTGGATTAACCCTCAGTGAAACATAGCAGGTTCTCTGAAACTGCTATGTTTCAGCGCATGGTTGAAACTAGAGGGGCGTGGCACGCAGACCACTTAATTGAGCTGAAGTGGTCTGGGTGCCTATAGTGGTCCTCTAAGTGTGTATGTATGGGGGAGGGGGGCAGTGTGTGTGTGCATGGGGGAGGGGCAGTGTGTGTATGGGGGAGGGGGCAGTGTGTGTGGGGGGCAGTGTGTGGGGGCAGTGTGCATGGGGGAGGGGGGCAGTGTGTATGGGGGGGGCAGTGTGTGTATGTGTGTATGGGGAGGGGGCAGTGTGTATGGGGAGGGGCAGTGTGTGGCTGGGGGAGCAGTGTGTATCGGGGAGGGGCAGTGTGGGGCAGTGTGTGTGTATGGGTGTGTGGGGGGGCAGTGTGTGTACAGGGGGCAGTGTGTAGTGTATGGGGGAGGGGGCACAGGGGGGCAGTGCTGGGGAGGGAGCAGTGTGTGTGGGGGGAGGGGCAGTGTGTGCATGGGGAGGGGGGCAGTGTGTGTATGGGGAGGGGGGCAGTGTGTGTATGGGGAGGGGGCAGGTGTGTATGGGGGAGGGGGCAGTGTGTGTGTATGGGGGCAGGGGGCAGGGGGTAGTGTGTGTGTATGGGGAGGGGGCAGTGTGTGGGGGAGGGAGCAGTGTGTGTGGGGGGAGGGGCAGTGTGTGTATGGGAGGGGGCAGTGTGTGTATGGGGAGGGGGCAGTGTGTATGGGGGAGGGGGCAGTGTGTATGGGGGGCAGTGTATATGGGTGGGGGGCAGTGTGTATGGGGGGGCAGTGTGTGTATGGGGGCAGTGTGTATGTGTGTGTAGGGGGCAGTGTGTGTAAGGGGGGGCTGTATATATGGGGGGGTAGTGTGTGTATGGGGAGCAGTGTATATATGGGGGGCTCCTCTCCTCACCTTCCATCCATGCTGTATGTGTGCTCTGTGTGAGAGGGAAGCAGGGGGTGATGTCACTTCCTGCCCGCCTCCCATCCTCACTGAGCACTGAACAGGGAGAGAGACAGAGAGGAGACCTGGCAGTGAGAGCAAGGTGTGCTGCCAGGTCTCACACTGGAGGAGGGGGGGGAGAAATTATTTACAGGGTGATGGGTTGCAGGGGCCCTTAGAGTCATTATGGGCCCCCTGCAACCTTTCACTGAATTTGTTTTTGTTTAACTTACTTCTGACTGTGGAGATCTCTGATCTGATCTCCACAGCAGAAGCATGGCTGTACTGCCGGGCCCTCGGTCCATGACCGATCTGCCCGACCTGTCAGTCCGCCCCGTAATGCAGAGGAGGAGCGGCGGCGGATGGAGAGGCAGCGACATGAAACATGTTTTCACCCCTTCAGCAACCAGGGATTGGGGGGTGGGAGGGAGAGGGGACCTGCAGTGCCAGGAAAACGGATTGTTTTCCTGGCACTGGAGTTTCCCTTTAATGAAGCAATTTCTGTGTATAGATTATGGCCCTACAGTCTCACTGCTCAATTATCTGTAATTTAGGAGTTAAATCACTTTGGTTTCTGTCTATGCAGCCACAGCCACACCTCCTCTGGCTGTGACTAACACAGCCTGCATGAAAAAAATGGTTTTATTTTCAATCAGATATTAAAATGCTTTAGATGTTTTTATCTCCTGCTCTGTAAATTATACTTTAATCACACACAGAATGCTCATGCAAGGTCTAAATAAGTAACTTTAAATTAAACAGAATGTGCAATAAAGGAAGTTTAACAATTAGATCTCCCTTTACAGGAAGTGTTTAAGAAGACTGTGCAGGGCACATGCAGGGAGGTGTGACTAAGGCTGCACCAATGATTTAACTCCTAAATCGCAGAGAATTCAGCAGTGAAACTGCAGGGTCATGATCTATTCACAGACAAATGTATTTAAAGTTGTTTTGATGTCTTTAGTGTCCCTTTAATGGCTCAGATAA